ATATATATATAAAATATATATTATGTATAAAATATTAACATGAAAATGTAGCAAAATTATAAACAACAAAAGTCGTGCAAGCAAAACAACTATATATAAACAAACAACCAAGAAAAAAAAAACAAATACGTTAACAACAACAACGTTAAGAAAAATGCAACAAAAAAATTGTAAAATCCCAACAAATTAGAAGTTATGCTAAAAAACCTAGAGCAACAACAAATCGATTTGTATATTAGCAAATAGCAACAACAATTTGTATATCGTTAACAACAACAACGTCAGCAGTGGGGCAGGTGGGCGTGGCTGCGGTGCGTGCTGCCCCTTGGCCGCCGATGCATTCGTGATGCTGAGAAAGCGGAGGTGACCAACCCGTGCAGATCGCGCGTCGTCCAGCCACGCCCACACACCTGCCCACACTTACTCTCGCGCACAGCCCTAGAGCAACAACAAGCGAAAAAATGCACAAAAAGACAACAACAAAAAACAAGCAAAGCTTCGAAACGCACACCACGCCCACTGCGGAAGCGCTGCCTCCGTCCCTCTGAAGTAGCAGCACCCGTGTCGTGTTCGCTTTAGGGAGTGGGGGCGTGGTCTATCTGAAGGAGGCGTGAGGCGTAGTTGCTCTGGCTGCCGCGCGCCAGTTTGTACTCATTGCTATCACTATTTGCATTCTCCAATAACTGTACATCCACACACAAACACATATATACATATACATATACGGTCGGTCAGGTTTTTAGAGCAACTATTGTAACTGTGTATTCGAGAAAAACAACATCAACAACAACAGACATTGTATGAAATAAATTGTAATTTCTAATTTCCAAAAAAAAAAACATTTACTTTTTATATGGGCAAGAAATGGGTTTGAGGGTCAAACGAAGTCCCCAATCTGTGAGCCTCGAAATCGAATAACAACAACAAAACACTGAACTTTGGCTTTTCCGCCAGATCTGGCTTTTTGAAAGTACTATAGCGGAAGAAATTTGAGAACAGTAGATATCGGGAATTACAGCTTTTTATATATTCGAGAAACCCTTTATATAT